TGGATTCCACAAAAGCAAATACCATTGATTAACAACCTTGGAGCTCTTTAAAGGTTATGTATGATTCAAAATCTGTTTCCCTATGGAGAACATGAATGGAGTTTTTAACTATCATCTTCTGTAGAGCTCATTTACAGCTGAAATTGAATTTGTTTCATAATTGATTAATTTTACAACATTAACACTGTTATTGTCCTGTTTATTAATGTGAAGCTGCTTTGAAACAATCTGTATTGGCACCATGCATAAAAAAATGTCACTTGACTGTTAAACATTCAAATCTATGTGTGTTTTGCATTGGGATCCTTCACAAACCCATTTTTGGTTTCATTAGATTTTTCACCAATTATTTTAGACTAATCAAAAAATGGATCATGACTAAAAAGTGATTTACTGTACATTACAAGGCAACTATATGCCATGCTATGACGGTACTATATTTGTTCCTCTTCTCTTTCCAGCCCCCCACTAACATTTTTTCCCCGCCCGAATCTGCTCGCTGTCAGGCTTGGCTGAGGCCCCGGACTTTGTGTTCAGCACAGATCGCCCAAATGGTCTGGGACCGGATGATGAAGTCTCATTAGCCCCCCATGCCATCTGACGAGAAGAGCTGAGGCTTCAGCGCAGACCGCCCTGTGAGAGAGCGCCTACAGCCACAGCCAGAGATTCAGCTCCAAAAACCCATCTCAGCACACTCTTTAGTCATAGCCCCCCTGCGGTGCAAGTGCGATTGTGGCACTCACCAGGGACAGTATGCTCCAACACAGAGCAAAGCAAGGCTCCTAGCATCTGGACATCAAACACAGCACAGTGCGGACTGGTAGCATATGACCTTCTTATTATGGCTGCCCTTCGCTGTGCAGACTCTTGAGGGTGACTATGACAAGATTACGCAAGGATCTGGGCTGGATATGATTGCTTATGAGCAGGCAAGATGAAAAGTCTAATAAAGAATACATTTATAATATATTAAAAGACTATTTTCTTGCAGAGTTTCATTATATGCTTGGCAAAAAATATCCTGTTCATAAAATATTTTTGTAATAAGTTCTTTCTGTTTATGCACAAAGCTGTCACTTAAATTCAAAAGGCCTGGGACAAAATGTTCATGGGTGGGCGCCCCATGAGGTGGTTCCTGAAAAATCTGCAGATTATAAATTTCCGACACAAGGCATACTGTACTTCTTATCTGATCTATCTGTAAAAGAATATTTTTCAAAGTTCTAACTAAAACAAAGATTCCTAAAGTACATTTGACAAGAAATACTGTTTTAGTCTTTCTACTTCAAAATATCATGTTTAATTTAATAAATTGCTGTTTCTTTGTAATTTATTGTGAAGTGAAAATTGTTTGTACATCAAATTTTTTTTTTTTCAGTTTATAGCATGACTTGGCAAAACGACATCAATCTCATACCATTTTTACAAAATTGAGTCCCATTTTCATAATCTTTCCTAGGGGCCCAAAAAAACCCACCAAGACAGCCATAGTCTGCACCATATAACATCTTACTGGGAACCACACATATTCAGGACAACATTCTTGGTCAACCCTCCCTGACGACAGCCCAGTTTATGCATGGACACAAACTAAAGTGCTAACGGACTACAACCAGATGAAAGACTATTTTCTTGCAGAGTTTCATTATATGCTTGGCAAAAAATATCCTGTTCATAAAATATTTTTGTAATAAGTTCTTTCTGTTTATGCACAAAGCTGTCACTTAAATTCAAAAGGCCTGGGACAAAATGTTCATGGGTGGGCGCCCCATGAGGTGGTTCCTGAAAAATCTGCAGATTATAAATTTCCGACACAAGGCATACTGTACTTCTTATCTGATCTATCTGTAAAAGAATATTTTTCAAAGTTCTAACTAAAACAAAGTTTCCTAAAGTACATTTGACAAGAAATACTGTTTTAGTCTTTCTACTTCAAAATATCATGTTTAATTTAATAAATTGCTGTTTCTTTGTAATTTATTGTGAAGTGAAAATTGTTTGTACATCAAATTTTTTTTTTTTTTCAGTTTATAGCATGACTTGGCAAAACGACATCAATCTCATACCATTTTTACAAAATTGAGTCCCATTTTCATAATCTTTCCTAGGGGCCCAAAAAAACCCACCAAGACAGCCATAGTCTGCACCATATAACATCTTACTGGGAACCACACATATTCAGGACAACATTCTTGGTCAACCCTCCCTGACGACAGCCCAGTTTATGCATGGACACAAACTAAAGTGCTAACGGACTACAACCAGATGTAAAGTCAGGAAATAAGCAATAGTAACAATTAAGCAACAACACAAGAACAGCTAAACATATTCTACAAATAATACTGAAAATTACTTCACAACGAAAAAAACACACACCCAAAATCACAATTAATTTCTGGATCTAAACCACATCAAGTACGTTGGCCTCACAGTTCACTCAACGCGCCACCTAGCGGCCGTCAGCTTGACATTACAAGCGAAGATTCCACTACGAGACTCCGTGCTGTTGTTGGCATTGCAGTGGCGTCCTGACAGGGAGGTATTTGATATCGATACGGAGGTGTGAGGAAAATCTGCACCTCTGTATTTGTGATATCCGCTCTTATTTTGCTATAACACCACTCACACAAAATAAAAGCAAAAACCTCTAACTCACACCGAGGTACTTTCGCATCAAAAAGTCTTTCACAGTCACACTACAGACGACAGTATTTGCATCACAAATGCGAGTCCCTGGCAAGGTCCCAAGTATTGCTCTTAGGACTGAGAAATTGTACTTCGTTGCGACTCGATTAATATGCTGACTGCCAGACCTTAACTTCTGAACATCACAGATGCTCCTGAGGGAAAAGCGCTGAATATTAAAACATCACAGGCAGTGAGAGAAACTTTCAGATATTAATGCTGACCACACTGTTCGACAATATTTGAAAGTGCATAGCGCCTGAATATATTTATTAATGTTATATTAAATTAAAAAAGGTTTCGTTCATTTTTTTTATTTCATATTTCTCTTTCCCTTATATATATATATATATATATAGTCATAGCCCCCCTGCGGTGCAAGTGCGATTGTGGCACTCACCAGGGACAGTATGCTCCAACACAGAGCAAAGCAAGGCTCCTAGCATCTGGACATCAAACACAGCACAGTGCGGACTGGTAGCATATGACCTTCTTATTATGGCTGCCCTTCGCTGTGCAGACTCTTGAGGGTGACTATGACAAGATTACGCAAGGATCTGGGCTGGATATGATTGCTTATGAGCAGGCAAGATGAAAAGTCTAATAAAGAATACATTTATAATATATTAAAAGACTATTTTCTTGCAGAGTTTCATTATATGCTTGGCAAAAAATATCCTGTTCATAAAATATTTTTGTAATAAGTTCTTTCTGTTTATGCACAAAGCTGTCACTTAAATTCAAAAGGCCTGGGACAAAATGTTCATGGGTGGGCGCCCCATGAGGTGGTTCCTGAAAAATCTGCAGATTATAAATTTCCGACACAAGGCATACTGTACTTCTTATCTGATCTATCTGTAAAAGAATATTTTTCAAAGTTCTAACTAAAACAAAGATTCCTAAAGTACATTTGACAAGAAATACTGTTTTAGTCTTTCTACTTCAAAATATCATGTTTAATTTAATAAATTGCTGTTTCTTTGTAATTTATTGTGAAGTGAAAATTGTTTGTACATCAAATTTTTTTTTTTTCAGTTTATAGCATGACTTGGCAAAACGACATCAATCTCATACCATTTTTACAAAATTGAGTCCCATTTTCATAATCTTTCCTAGGGGCCCAAAAAAACCCACCAAGACAGCCATAGTCTGCACCATATAACATCTTACTGGGAACCACACATATTCAGGACAACATTCTTGGTCAACCCTCCCTGACGACAGCCCAGTTTATGCATGGACACAAACTAAAGTGCTAACGGACTACAACCAGATGTAAAGTCAGGAAATAAGCAATAGTAACAATTAAGCAACAACACAAGAACAGCTAAACATATTCTACAAATAATACTGAAAATTACTTCACAACGAAAAAAACACACACCCAAAATCACAATTAATTTCTGGATCTAAACCACATCAAGTACGTTGGCCTCACAGTTCACTCAACGCGCCACCTAGCGGCCGTCAGCTTGACATTACAAGCGAAGATTCCACTACGAGACTCCGTGCTGTTGTTGGCATTGCAGTGGCGTCCTGACAGGGAGGTATTTGATATCGATACGGAGGTGTGAGGAAAATCTGCACCTCTGTACTTGTGATATCCGCTCTTATTTTGCTATAACACCACTCACACAAAATAAAAGCAAAAACCTCTAACTCACACCGAGGTACTTTCGCATCAAAAAGTCTTTCACAGTCACACTACAGACGACAGTATTTGCATCACAAATGCGAGTCCCTGGCAAGGTCCCAAGTATTGCTCTTAGGACTGAGAAATTGTACTTCGTTGCGACTCGATTAATATGCTGACTGCCAGACCTTAACTTCTGAACATCACAGATGCTCCTGAGGGAAAAGCGCTGAATATTAAAACATCACAGGCAGTGAGAGAAACTTTCAGATATTAATGCTGACCACACTGTTCGACAATATTTGAAAGTGCATAACGCCTGAATATATTTATTAATGTTATATTAAATTAAAAAAGGTTACGTTCATTTT